AATGGAAATCCAAAATCTCTGTAAATGCTCATTAAAATTATTAAAAAAAACAAAACAAAGACGGTTTCTAGATCTATCTTGAAATACAATTTTGTGAGTAACAGGATAATATCAATACACATACAGGGAAGACCTGTTAATACCACTATTGTTCAAATTTATGCACCAACAATCAGAGGCAAAAAAGAGGAAATAGATAATTTTTACCAACTTTTGCAGTCAGAAATTGAGCAAACATGTAACCAAGATGCATTGATAATAATAGGGCCTGGAATGTGAAAGTTGGGAATCAGGAAGAAGGGTCAGTAGACTGAAAACATAAACTCGATGACAGAAATGAGGCTGGGGATAGAATGATAGAATTCTGCTCAATCAATATTTGTGCAGTTACCTTTTATAAGAAACAAAAACTGGCTATACACATGGATTTCATGTGATGATATGATGCACAGGAGTCAAATAGATTACATCTGTGAAAGGAATCATTGAAGAAGTTCATTATCAGCCGTGAAAACTAGGCCAGGTGCTAATTGTGGAAAAGACCATCAACTACTCATATGCAAGTTCAAAGAAAACAAGAGGCAATGGTGGATATTATGCTGAGTGAAATATCTCAGTCACAAAAATGTCAAATACTACATAGTGCCACTGTTATAAAACAATACTGACATAGGGGTTTGGGGAAACTAAAAAAAGAGGGGATAAATAATGTATATGGCATTGAAACAGAAGAGGGAGAGAACTGTTTAAAAGGAGTATATGATTAGGTATTAGGCGCATGACAAGAGTCCTGAATAAGAGCTTCATAGTAAAGTGGAATGGGGAGAGGGAACTGTATAACAATGAAAGATTTTTTTTTCCAAAGAAAAAAGTGAATTGGGGGGATGGGATGCAAGGAGGAAAATGTGCAACAATGAATGAATGGAAATCTAGGTTCTCTATAAACTTTCATTAAAATCACAATAAAAAAGATCAAGAGGCAATGGTGATGAAGGAGGAAGTTCAGGCTGCTCTGAAGACTTAGCAAAAAATAAAGCCCTAGGAAGTAGTGGAATGAATACCAATTGACATGTTTCAACAAACAGATGCCGCCCTGGATGTGCTTACCATTTTGTGCCAAGAAATCTGGAGGACAGCTACCTGGCCAACTGACTGAAGAGATCCATATTTATTCCCATTCCAAAAAAAAGGTGACCCAACAGAGTGGAAATTATCAAAAAATATCACTAGTATCATACCCAAGCTAAATCCTGCTGAAGATTATCCAAAAGCAACTGGAATAGTACATTGACAGAGAATTACCAGAAATACAAGCTGGGTTTAAAAGAGGTTGTGGCACTAGGGACATTATTACCAATGTTAGATGGATCTTGCTAGAAAACAAAGAGTAGCAGAGGAATGTCTCTCTGTGTTTTATTGACTATGCAAAGGCATTTGACTGTGGATCACAGCAAATTATACCTAACCTTGAAGAGGATGGGAATCCCAGAACACTTGATTATGCTTACATGAAACCTATACTCAGACTACAAAGCAGTCCTCAGAATAGAGCAAGGAAACACTGCATGGTTAAAAATCTGGAAAGAAGTATGTCAGGGATGTGTCCTATTTCCATACCTTTTTAAGCTATATGCTTGAACAGATCATTTGGGAAACTGGGCTTTATAAAGAGGAATGTGGCATCAGAATTGGAGGAGGTGACTTTATGGCACATAACAGCAAAAACAACAGTGTTAGAGGGATCCTTTCTGTGATTAATACTCTTTTTTTTGTTTTTTGTTGTTGTGTACCATCCAGTGGGATCCAACTAGCACAGGAGGAGAATGCCCCTCCTTCTTCAGCAGAACATCTGGTAGATTTGAACCACACACCTTTGGGATTACGGCACAGCTTCTTGCCACTAGGCTACCAGAGTTCCCTTGTGACTAATACTCTTGAACTAATTATTTCTTTTATCCTTTATTGTTTGAAGTGTGTTTTTTTTTAAAAACAACAACAACAAAACAATGGGTTCTTTAGGCTTACAAACTTCTTACAAGATAAAATTTTCTGAAAAAGTTTTTTTTTCTTTCCCTAGCCTGTGGTCAACTGCTAGATGAGGCACAAGTGACTTTGTCCTTCCAGGACTGGCTGGCCAGCGTGACAGAACGCATCCATCAAACTATGCACTATCAATTTGATGGTAAGTATTGGTTGCCCAACTCAGATGTTGCTACTCTTTTTTTGAAAGGAATATTGGTGCCAACTCAACTATTGTTTAAAGTAGGAGAAACTAAAGTAACTATTCTAACCTTTTTTTTGAAAGGAAACACAATTGAGTCCAGAATGCAGTGGGATGAAAGAAAGTAGAAATCGCAATAATACTAATAAAATCATAAGATAAACTATAAAAAATAAAGTAGAAATCACAGTGAAATATAATTAACATGTAGGCCCAGTAATGTTAATTTGGGATTGGAAGAAGAAAAAGCAAAACAAATAAATGTATAGCTCTGAAGTTTGGTGGATGTGCCTGATGAGACAGAAGATCATTAGAAGATCATTTCAAAGGGAGTTCTGGTGGCCTAGTGGCAAGAAGCTGCACTGCAATCCCAGAGATAGGCAGTTCGAATCCACCAGATGCTCTGCTGGAGAAGGGGGGACAATCTCCTTCTGTACCAGTCAGATCCAATTTGATAGTACACACACAAAAAAATAATAAAAATAAAAATACCAAAAAAATATCATTCCAGTCCTCAAATTGAGATAGACACATGGGGAGAGTTTAGAGAAAAATATGAGAGGCAAAAAATAGTTACTAACAAAGTCACACTAAGGAAGACAAGAACACTGGCTATGTTTGGGTGTGATTTATTAAAATACTAGGGAACAGAGACTTCAGAAGTAGACCATTTAGTTAGTCCTCACCATCAGCTTAATCCTTTTGAGATGTTTTTCTAGTCTTAATTTTTTTATGTAACATGTAACATTGTTGGACAATAACATTGGACAATAGCAGTTGTGAGGAAGGTCTTTCTCAAGCTAAGTGTAAATTATTATATTTTCCTTTTAATTCTAGTTCTGTGCTGTGAGGCCACTATTTCAGTTCTGCAGTAACAGTTCCTAATAGTGTGCTCAGTCATTCCCATGCACTGCCGGACAGGCCTTCTCCTATTGAAGCCACACACCCTAGGTTCTTCAGACACCCCTAATAGCATTTTTACAGACGTGATAACCATCTTGATGTTCTCTGCTAAATATATTCCAGTTTATGAATATCATTTAAAAGCAAAACAAAAACACCCGGACTGAGTAGTAGCTTGACAGCAGCATCTCATCCATGGGAGGAGATGAGTTTTAGGATTAAGATAATTATAACTTTATCATAGGCTGAGGGATAAGAACAGAGGGCTTTGGTGGGGGAGTGGTGGGCATTGAAAAAAAAGAGAAAAGAACAGAGGGCTTTGAAATATCTGCTTAGATACTTAAGCAGGTTAAAGAAAACTTCAGACAGAAATTTTAGAATTTTAGTTTTAGAATTATAAATAAATAAGTAGGGCTATAAAGTCTCAATTTTTTTATTTTTAACATTTTTAAATACTTGAAATATGTGCTAAATACAGAAATAAGAACACTGATAAGAGCATAAACCACTCTGTGGTCCTTCACCATCCCAACCCTGTATGCCTCTACCTGAGTTAATCGTCTCCTTGCTACCTCTTTGTCGAAAATATCATTACCTCTTTCCTGGACTTTTTTTGAGTACTTAGAGATGAATTCTGCCCCCTCCCAAGTTTATTTTTATTTTATTTTTGTTTGCATACAAAATTCGTATACATTGTGTATCATTCACATATATTGCATTACACCCATTTTTACATTCATATTGTGTTTCACACAATCACTCATATACATTGTGTTTTATAAAATTAATCATAATTGATCTATGCCTACTATTATCCTGTCATTTTAGGTCCTCATTAGATCTTTCCTAATTCCTTCACATGCACACATACCCCTCCTCTGCTCACCAAACTCTGTTATCCTAGTGATTCCCCCACTCTCTGCTTCCTTGCCGCCCTCCTTCTGATGCCCTGACCTTCTCTCCTTTTGGAATTTTATAGATAACATTTTATTTGTTGTTGTTGTTATGTGCCATTAAGTCACTTGAGACTCATAGTGACCCTGTGTACAGTAGCTCTGAACCCTGTGCTATCAAGAGCCAAACTTACTGTCTCTGACACACCTACACCAATCATTGAGTCAGTCCATCTCATCGAGGGTCTACCTCTCCTACGCTGTCCCCCACCCTCCTAAGCATGATGTCCCTCTCCAAGGATTGATCCTTTCTTGTAGCATGTCCAAAGTATGTCAGGCGGAGCGACAGAATCTTTGCCTCCTGGTTTCATCCTCTCCAGGACGAACCTGTTAGTTCTTCTAGCAGTCCATAGTATATTCAGTATTCTTCTCCATCCCCACAGCTCAAAGGTATCAATTCTCTTCTGACATCCCTAGTCATTGTCCAGCTCTTTGATGCATAGCAAGTAATTGCAAAGACCAGGGCCTAAATCTGTTTAAGGAAGACTTCAGACAGAGAAATTACCTTTTTTTCCTTTTTAATTCAAAAGAGTGGAGAGAGAGAAATTACTTTTTACAATATTCCTTGCAGTGCAGTAGCTGGATCATATGGAATATCTATGTTCAGCTATTTGAGGAAATGTCAGTCAAACTACCTTCCAGAGTGGCTGTACCATTTTAAGAAGTTAATTCTTAAACCTAAGTTCCAGCATCATGTCTACTGAACTTTGGTTAGTAGACACTTCTTGTAGGGTTGTAATGATCCTTTGTAGCCCCTAATCTAATTTCAGGATAAAAGATGTGTGATAGCTGCTCTAAGGAGCCTGTTGTTGTTATGTGCTGCCGAGTTGCCTGTGACTCATAGTGACCCTATGTACAACAGCCCTAAATCCTCCTCTATCCTGTGCAAATCTTACTGTTTCTGACATACTTACTCCCATTACCCCAGTCACTAAACCAGTCCATCTCATTGAGAGTCTTCCTCTGTTGTGCTGTCCCTCCACCACCACCCCCAAGCATGTTGTTCCTCTCCAAGAACTGGTCTTACCTTGCATCATGTCCAAAGTATGTCACACGAAGCTTCAGAATCCTTGCCTCCAAGGAACAACCCTGTCTCACCCTCTCTAGGACAAATTTGTCTGTAATCCTGGCAGTCCATGATATATTCAATACTCTTCTACAGCACCACCACTCAAAGGCATCAGTTCTCCTTTTATCAACCCTAGTCATCGTCCAGCTTTCTGATGCATAGCAAATAATTGCAAAGACCTGAATCAGGTGCACCTTAGTCTCCAGACTGACATAGTTGCTCTTCAGTACTTTGGAAAGGTCTCTGACAGTAGACTTTCCCAATGCAATTAGTCTTTTTATTTCCAGGCTGCTGGTACCAAGAGTGATGATTGTGGAGCCAAGCAAACAAAAGCAGTTAATAATCTCAATCTTGTCCCAGTTTTGAAGCCTTTTGATTATGGAACACTGCTCAGTTAGTAGAAAGAATAGTCTTATTATGTGCTACAGTAAAAAAACCACCACCAACAAAAACCCCAATCTCAATCTCTCCACCATCTACTATGATGCTGCCGATTGGCTCAGTGGTAAGAATCTTTGTCTTCTTGATGTTGAGCTTCAATCCATATTTAAGGCTGCAGACCTTGACCTTCTGCAGCAAGTGCTTCAGGTCCTCCTCAGTCTCAGCAAGCAGGGTTGTGTCATCTGCATAATGCAGATGCCACATTTCTCCTCATAGAGTCCAACTTCCCAGATAATCTCTTCCATATATAGATTTAAAAGGTATGGAGATAGGACACATCCTTGGACACACTATTCCCACTTTTGAACCATGCAGTGTTTCCTTGCTCTGTTATGACAACTGCCTCCTGGTCCAAGTATAGGTTTTGCATAAGCACAATCAAATGTTCTGGGATTCCCATTCTTCTCAGAGTCAGCTACAAGTTTGTTATGATCTGTACTGTCAAATGCCTTTGCATAGTCAATGAAATAGAGATAGACATTCCTATGGTCCTCTCTGCTTTTAGCCAAGATCCATCTTACATTAGCTATAATATCCCTGGTACCACGACCTCTTCTAAACCCAGCCTGCACTTGAAGCAGTTCTCTGTTGATGTGCTGTTCCAGTCATTTTTGGATAATGTTCAACAGAATCTTGCTTGCATGTGATATTGTTTGATAATTTCTGCACTGTTGGGTCACCCCTCTTTGGAATGGGAACACATATAGATTTCTTTCAGTCAGTTGGCCAGATGGTTGTCCTCCAGATTTCTTGACACAGCTTGGTGAGCACATCTAGGGCAGCATTTATTTGTTGAAATAATATCAATAGGTATGCCATCAATTCGCGGAGCCTGGTTTTTTGCCAGTTCTTTCAGAGCAGCTTGAACTTCTTCCTTCATCACCACAAGCTCTTGTTCATACATTGTTTCATTAAATTCTTCTCTCTGCCAATTCCTTTTGATATCATGACTCTGTATACTCTTTCCATCTTCTTCTAATGTTTCCTGAATTATTTAATATTCTGCCCAAAGCATCTTAAAGTATTGCATCTAGAGACTTGAATTTGTTCTTCAGTTCATTCAGCTTAAGAAATGCTGAGCCAGTTTGGCCTCCTTTCTTTTCTGACTGCAGCTAAGCAATAATGAATGTTGGGCATAATGGTCAAGAGTGTGAAAGTGTGAAGTCAAGTGGACACTGTCACATCTCTACATCATTATTCTCACATCATCTCATTTCTCATACCCTGTATGAGAAAAACTTTGTGCTGTGATTTTAAAATTGAGCATTTGAAAAGTTTTCCTTGGTGGCCAACAACAATGTGCAATATTGTTTTTAATCAAAGAATCAAGAAAAGGACTGTTAACAGCCCTTGACTTGCAGGGATCAAAGCCTTTTTCTCCCTCTGTATAAAGAAATCTCATTGGTAATAGAACTTTTTTATTATTTTTGCCCCTCTGGTGGCCTAGTGGTTAAGAAGCTGCACTGCAATACCAAAGGCAAACAATTTGAAGCCACCAGCTGCTTCATGAGTGAAGGATGGGCTGCTGCCTCTGAAAGCCCACCAGAAGGTCAGCTATGAGTTGGTCTAACTCAGTGGCACTCAAGAACATTTTGTTTCTCTTACTTCTCTTCACACATCAGAAAATCAGCTGAGTTTGTTCTTATTTCCTACAGGCAAACCAGAGCCATTGGTGTTCCACATTCCTCAGTCCTTTTTTGATGCCCTGCAACAGAGAATCTCTATAGGAAGTGCAAAGAAACGGCTCCCCAACTCCACTACAGGTAGGAGATTCCCCCACAGGAATAGCAGCAGCATTGGAATTGTCAGTATTAGGACTTCCAGTCACACAAAAGCACAGCTCTTAGAATAATGATCACACTCCTCAAAGGCTCCATTTATTCCAGTTGGACTTAGTAGAAAACTTTTAAAAACAGCAGGCTTGTGAAGTGATGAACAAGAAAGTGCAGTTATTAAAAGTACGTACCAAAATGTTGATATTTTCTAGAAATAAACCAGTTGTGTTAATAGCATCACATTTGCCAGCAGCAATAGATAATTTGGATCAGATTGTCTTCTTGAAGCTTCTGATTCTGTAAAAAAAAGAATTTTTTTCTATTGTGATTTTCAAGGTTTCTTGAAGGAATATTCTATTTTTAGGATAATTTAGAATTGAAATACTTCACAGTCAAATTATTCTGATGCTTATTTCTTGATTTCCTATAAACTCTTTCTACTAGAGGTCCCTAGATACTGATTATCTAGGGAATCTAGTTGGAATTAGAGAAGTTATAAAAAGTGGACTTCCAGGTCTGACTTCTCCTGACTCCACAAAGGGGAACCATTGCAATCCATATCCACAGTACAACACCAATTCCTATAGGATCAGACAGGATCTCATATGTTCCTGCACCTACTTCTATTAATTCTGACACCAGCCTTACTACTCTCCTGGGTCCAGAATCTGTTACAGTGACCAAACAAACATGAAGATTGGTAGCAGGATACAATCCCTCAGCCCAGACAGCTTTTCAAGTATGCTTGCAGGCCCTTTGACCTTCAGCTTTAAGGTTTAGGTCAGTTTTCCTTAGTCCTGCCCGTTATGGGGTCTTTTCACATTCTTCCAACAAACTTGGGTGAATGAAGATGCTACCAATCGGCCCAGTTGTGAGAATCTTTGTCTTCTTGATATTGAGCCTCAATCCATATGGAAGGCTGCAGTCCTTGACCTTCTGCAGCAAGCGCTTCAGGTCCTCCTCAGTTTCAGCAAGCAGGGTTGTGTCATCTGCATATTCCAAGCAGTGGAGTAGCTGGGTTATATGAAATTTCTATGTTCAGCTTTTTGAGGAAGCACCAAACTGCCTTCCAGAGTATTGTACCATTTTAAAATCCCACCAACAATGTATATTTCACCACATCCTTTCCAACATTTATTACTTGCTGTCCTGTTAAACTCTTTTCATGTCTTTTGCCCATTTCCTTATTGTGTTATCAGTTGTTTTCTTGTGGAGACCCTGGAGTTTTCTGTAAATTTTGATTATGAGATCCTTGTCTGAGATGCCATTGGCAAATGTTTTTTCCCAGTAGTATATTCTCTTTTCATCCAATTGGAAAAAGTTTTTGAATGCACACAGGGATTTAGTCATTAGAAGGTCCCATTCATCAATGTCATCTTCTCCTTACTCTGTATTTCTGGCTACATTTGGCAATTTATTTATAAGGAAAATAAATTTATTTATTTATTTAGAAAACTTGGTTTCATTTGGTCTTTATGGTTTGGGGCTTTAACCCTCAGTTTCTTCTTAATTTTCTTTTTTTAGTGAGAAAAATTTGTATTTAGAATTAGCCAGCTAGACTCAGTTTGTATGATCCCAGTTTTGTTGGCAACATCCAAAGCTTCATAGTCGGGAGCAAGTCAAACATATGTCTTCTTTTCTCCATCAGATGTTGACCTTGGCCATATCAGAGTCATTAAGCTTCATTACAGCTTGTTTGATTTGGTGCTTGTTGGCCTTGACATCAACAGTAAACACAAGTGTGTTTTTATCTTCTGTCTTCTTTATGGCTGACTCAGTGGTCAGGGGAAATTTGATGATGGCATAATGGTCAAGCTTGTTTCTCCTGGGGGCACTCTTCTGGGGGTTCTGGGCTGTCTTCAGAGTTTCAATGTCTTAGGCCACTGAAAGGTGAGTGATGTATCTTCTTTTGTTGCTGTGGCTGCCCTTCAGGACTGCCTTCTTGGCAGTTAAAGCCTTTGCTTTGATCTACAATCAGGAGAAGATAAAATAGATGAATGGGACCTTCTTTTTTTT